CTTCCAAGCTCATTTTATGAGGCCAGCATTACCTTGATCCCAAAACCAGACAAAGACCCCATCCAAAAGGAGAATTACAGACCAATATCCCTGATGAACATGGATGCAAAAATTCTCACCAAAATACTAGCCAATAGGATCCAACAGTATATTAAAAGGATTATTCACCATGACCAAGTGGGATTTATCCCTGGGCTGCAAGGTTGGTTCAACATCCGCAAATCAATCAATGGGATACGATACATTAACAAAAGAAAGAACAAGAATCATATGATCCTCTCAATAGATGCAGAAAAACCTTTTGACAAAGTACAGCATCCTTTCTTGATCAAAACTCTTCAGAGTATAGGCATAGAGGGTACATACCTCAATATCATAAAAGCCATCTATGAAAAACCTACAGCGAATATCATACTCAATGGGGAAAAACTGAGAGCTTTCCCCCTAAGGTCAGGAACGCGGCAGGGATGTCCACTATCACCACTGCTCTTCAACATAGTATTGGAAGTCCTAGCCACAGCAATCAGACAACAAAAAGAAATCAAAGGCATCCAAATCAGCAAAGAAGAAGTCAAACTCTCACTCTTTGCAGATGATATGATACTTTATGTGGAAAACCCAAAAGACTCCACCCTGAAACTGCTAGAACTCATACAGGAATTCAGTAAAGTGGCAGGATATAAAATCAATGCACAGAAGTCATTCGCATTCCTATATACCAACAACAACACAGAAGAAAGAGAAATTAAGGAGTCGATCCCATTTACAATTGCACCCAACACCATAAGATACCTAGGAATAAATCTAACCAAAGAGACAAAGGATCTGTACTCAGAAAACTATAAAATACTCATGAAAGAAATTGAGGAAGACACAAAGAAATGGAAAAACGTTCCATGCTTATGCATTGGAAGAACAAATATTGTGAAGATGTCAATGCTACCTAGAGCAATCTACACATTCAATGCAATCCCCATCAAAATACCATCCACTTTTTTCAAAGAAATGGAACAAATCATCCTAAAATTTGTATGGAACCAGAAAAGACTCCACATAGCCAGAGGAATGTTGAAAAAGAAAAGCAAAGCCGGCGGCATCACAATTCCGGACTTCCAGCTCTATTACAAAGCTGTCATCATCAAGACAGCATGGTACTGGCACAAAAACAGACACATAGATCAATGGAACAGAATAGAGAGCCCAGAAATGGACCCTCAACTCTATGGTCAACTCATCTTTGACAAAGCAGGAAAGAATGGTCCAATGGAACAAAGACAGTCTCTTCAACAAATGGTGTTGGGAAAATTGGATAGCCCCACATGCAGAAGAATGAAACTGGACCATTTCATTACACCACACACAAAAATAGACTCCAAATGGTTGAAAGACCTCAATGTGAGACAGGAGTCCATCAAAATCCTAAAGGAGAACACAGGCAGCAACCTCTTTGACCTCAGCCGAAGCAACTTCTTCCTAGAAACATCGCCAAAGGCAAGGGAAGCAAGGGCAAAAATGAACTATTGGGAATTCATCAAGATAAAAAGCTTTTGCAAAGCAAAGGAAACAGTCAACAAAACAAAAGACAACCGACAGAATGGGAGAAGATATTTGCAAATGACATATCAGATAAAGGGCTAGTATCCAAAATCTATAAAGAACTCATCAAACTCAACACCCAAAGAACAAAGAATCCAATCAAGAAATGGGCAGAAGACATGAACAGACATTTTTCCAAAGAAGACATCCAAATGGCCAACAGACACATGAAAAAGTGCTCAATATCGCTCGGCATCAGGGAAATCCAAATCAAAACCTCAATGAGATACCACCTCACACCAGTCAGAATGGCTAAAATTAACAAGTCAGGAAACGACAGATGTTGGTGGGGATGCGGAGAAGGGGGCACCCTCCTACACTGTTGGTGGGAATGCAAGCTGGTGCAGCCACTCTGGAAAACAGTATGGAGGTTCCTCAAAAAGTTGAAAATAGAGCTACCCTATGATCCAGCAATTGCACTACTGGGTATTTACCCCAAAGATACAAAAGTAGGGATCCGAAGGGCTACGTGCACCCTGATGTTTATAGCAGCAATGTCCACAATAGCCAAACTGTGGAAAGAGCCAAGATGTCCATCGACAGATGACTGGATAAAGAAGATGTGGTATATATATACAATGGAATATTATGCAGCCATCAAAAGGAATGAGATCTTGCCATTTGCAACGACGTGGATGGAACTGGAGGGTGTTATGCTGAGCGAAATAAGTCAATCAGAGAAAGACATGTATCATATGACCTCACTGATATGAGGAATTCTTAATCTCAGGAAACAAACTGAGGGTTGCTGGAGTGGGGGGTGGGGTGGGAGGGATGGGGTGACTGGGTGATAGACACTGGGGAGGGTATGTGCTCTGGTAAGCGCAGTGAATTGTGCAAGACTGTTGAATCTCAGATCTGTACCTCTGAAACAAATAATGCAATGTATGTTAAGAAAAAAAAAAGAAGAAGATAGCAGGAAGGGAAGAATGAAGGGGGAAATCGGAGGGGGAGACGAACCATGAGAGACGATGGACTCTGAAAAACAAACAGGGTTCTAGAGGGGAGGCAGGTGGGAGGATGGGTTAGCCTGGTGGTGGGTATTGAGGAGGGCACATTCTGCATGGAGCACTGGGTGTTATGCACAAACAATGAATCATGGAACACTTCATCTAGAACTAATGATGTAATGTATGGGGATTAACATAAGAATAAAAAAATATACATATAAAAAAAGAGATTTCCATTTTTTCTATAAAGGGAAGCCTCCTTTTAATTACTTTTAAATATAAATATTATTTATTCAACCTTTCTAATAATAAAACTCTATGTTATATATAGAAAACTTTGAAAAACTAAGAAAAAGGCCAAAGAAAATTCTTTTCACTCATAATCCCACCATTACTACTCACTTTAACGTTTGGATATATGTCCTTCTCTTATTTCTCTATGTACATATATTATTTTATAAAATTGGAATTACATTCTACCTACTGGCTATCAATCTTGCTTTTTTACTTATGATTTTCACAAAGAGGTAAATCTTTTTATGTAACAGAAAAAAATTTTTTAAAGATTTTATTTATTTATTTCACAGAGAGAGACACAGCAAGAGAGGGAACACAAGCAGGGGGAGCGGGAGAGGGAGAAGCAGGCTTCTCACTGAGCAGGGAGCCCGATGTGGGGCTCGATCCCACGACCCTGGGATCATGACCTGAGCGGAAGGCAGACGCTTAACAACTGAGCCACCCAGGCGCCCCTATATAACAGAAAATTTTTTTAATTTCACAGCATGCTACCAAAAGGAAATATCATGATTTATTGAACATATCCACTATTATTGGAAATTTTCTTCATTTCCAATGTTTCATATTAAACATACTTTTTCAGTGAGTAACCTTGTTAACTCTTTAAATGCCATTTTAATTATTTCCTATGAAAAATTATCAAAAGCCAAATTTCTGAGTTAAAGGCTGGGTAATTTTTTTCCTACTCCCTGCTGAGCAGGGAGCCTGAGGCAGGGCTTGATCCCAGGACCCTGGGATCATGACCTGAGCTGCAACCGCTTAACTGACTGAGCCACCCAGGTGCCCCTAATGATTCAACACTTTGATACAACGCTTGGCGCTCATCACAGGTGTATTCGTTAATCCCCATCACATATTTCACTCATCCCCTCCCCTTGGGTAATCATTTGTTTGTTCTCTATAATTAAGATTCTGTTTCTTGTTTTTTAAAAGTTCTAATATTACAAAATTTCTTGAAGGGATAATGCTTAATATTTTCAAACTTTGACAAGATAACTCAGACACACTGATACCAAAAAAATCTCTTTCTGCCCCATAATATAGAGATTCCAAATAAGAGATTCCAGCATCTCATACACCTATTTGGATTATTATGCTACTTGAGAAGGAGTTGCTTACACAGTTTTACCAAAATTCATTAGAACTTTAATAAGCAGATTTTTTTTTAGATACAAGAACCTAGACTAACTGGTCTTGTGGTTTCCATAGCAGGCAAGTCAAGTGCTGTTAGATCTGTGGATGTTTGGGGCACTGGGTGGCTCAGTCGGGTGGACGTCTCCCTTCAGCTCAGGTCATGATCCCAGGGTCCTGAGATCAAGCCCCATGCCGGGCTCTCCGCTCAGTGGGGAGTCGGCTTCTCCAACTCCCTCTGTGCTCTCTCCCTGTGTTCTTTCTCTTTCTCTCTCTCTCTCAAATAAGTAAAATCTTTTTTTTTAAGATTTTATTTATTTATTTGACAGAAAGAGAGAGCACACAAGCAGGAGGAGTGGGAGAGGGAGAAGCAGGCATCCCGTGGAGCAGGGAGCCCGATGTGGGGCTGATCCCAGGACCCTGGGATCATGACCTGAGCCGAAGGCAGACGCCTAATGACTGAGCCACCCAGGTGCCCTTAAAATCTTTTTAAAAAAAGAATCTGTGGATACGCTACAGAATGATCAAGCAAAATGAGGTTGTCTGTGCTAAGGGGTATTTGTACTAATCACTGTGTTGTGTTTCTGGTGTAAGAACATAAATCCAAAGTCACCTTCTGATAGAAAGCCATGGACAGTGTGGAAATTAAAGGCACAATTTAAGAGCAGTGATTGTGTTTGATGGATGATGAGCCTAAGAAAATAGAAGCCAGCGTCCCTTGCACACACGGCCACTGGCCCTATGCTAAATGCTATGCTTGCACTGCATCATTTCAGCCTCAGGAAAAAACCTCTGGGTAAAGTACCATCCTTATTCCTGTTTCCAGATGGGAAGAAAAAAAAAAAAAAGACCTGGTGCTAACAGAAGTCACCAACAAAGATCTATGTGCGTTTTCTCTCTGGGAAGCACCTGGAGAGTGCAGATTTTGTGTTATTTCTCTCTATCTCCCTTCAGGGCTAGCACAGTGCTCAGCTCATGCCATTAAATGATTGTGGAAGTTACGTAAATTTAGGTTTCTGAATTTGTTCTTCTCTCAGGTGAGCTGGGAGGAATATGCTTCAGCGAGAGTCCACATGGCTTACCTCACAGGGGACAGAGGGATCATGGATGAAGATGGTTCCTTCTGGTGGACTGGTAGAGCTGATGATGTCCCAGGTGTGTTGGGGTCAGAGGCGGTAAATGCTTGTGGTTACTGCTATTGAGCGTGGGGCTGTGGTGGTCTGGGGAGGGCTCTGGACCACCTCAGATACATAAGCATTACAGAAAGTTTAGAAAATGCAAATAAACAAAAATAAAAAAATAAGAGTCATTCACCATCTCATATTTTGGTGTATATTCTTCTAGTCTTCTTTCTTCGTATATAGAAACACTTTTTTAGTAGAAGTGAGTTCAAGGAGAAATGTTCTAGCATAACTTGTCTTTTTCATTCAGCAATATAAGAGAAATGTTTTTCTGTGCAATAATGCATATTTACATAATACCATTTTAAAATTTTTAATTAAGTAAAACATATATTCAGTAAGTACACAAATCTTACATGAACAGCCCAATGAATGTTTACATATTTATGCACCTGTAATCACATTTAGATTAGGACATAAGATATTCCCAGCACCCTAATAGGCTCCCTCATGTCCTCACGCCTCTGTGAAAACTGAACTCCTCCTTTTATGAACTTAGAAGTAAATTTCTGTACCTAAAAGCAGTTTCAGGAATTGGGAAAAGTCCATTAAATCCTAAGAGCAATAAATTCTGAGTGGCAGGGCGCCTGGGTGGCTCAGTTGGTTAAGCGACTGCCTTCAGCTCAGGTCATGATCCTGGAGTCCCTGGATCGAGTCCCGCATCGGGCTCCCTGCTCGGCAGGGAGTCTACTTCTCCCTCTGACCCTCCCCCCTCTCATGTGTTCTCTCTCATTCTCTCTCTCTCAAATAAATAAATAAAATCTTAAAAAAAAAAAATTCTGAGTGGCAGATGCCTGCAAGCAGATTCCATGGGCCATCCCAATTCAGACCTGGCCAACCACAAAAGTCACAGGAATGTTAAATATGACAAGCAATTTGAACATCCCACTCTCTAAATCGCAAACCTGCTTTCCCAGTGTTTTGACACAACTTAAAAAACTCAACTAAAGTTTGCTCAGGAAGTCTCTCCTCTGAGCACTCCCTACTGGAGTTAATTCTGAATGAACCACTTCCTTTCTTTACCTCTAACTGGTCTCAAGGTTTACCTTTAGCCTCTCTTTCCATCAGTAACTATTATTCTGACTTCTAAAACCATAGATTAATTTTGCCTGCTCCCTTATACAAATGGAATCATCCCGTCTGTACTCTTTTGTGTCTGACTTCTTTCTCTCAAAATAATGCCTGTGAGATTTATCCATGTCATTGTATCTGTATCAATAGTTCATTCTTCTTCATTGCTATGTAGAATCCCATTGTATGAATACACCTAAAATTTACTTATCCACTCTACTTTTGGTGAGAGAATGGGATTGATTCCAATCTGGGATAACATGAATAAAGGTGCTTTGAATATTATTCTACATGTCTGTTGCTGAATATATGCAAAGATTGATGACTGATATAGATCTAGGAGGGGAGATGTGAATCATAAGGTATGCATATTTTAAGTTTGATTAAGATATTACCACAGTTTTCTAATTCCCAATTTATACTCCTACCACAGTGGAGGCTGAATAAAAGTTCCATTTGCATAATTATGCTAAGCGAAATAAGTCAGTCAGAGAAAGACAAATATCAGATGATTTCAATCATATGCGGAATTTGAGAAACAAAACAAATGAGCATAAGGAAAAAGAGAGAGAGAGGCAAACCAAGAAAGAGACTTATAACTATAGAGAACACACTGATGGTTGCCAGAGGGGAGGTGGGTGGGGAGATGGGTGAAACAGGTGGTGGGGATTAAGAAGCACATTTGTTGTGATGGGCACTGGATGTTGTTTGGTTTGCTGAATCACTAAACCCTACACCTGAAATGAATATTATACTGTATGTTAACTGGAATTTAAAGAGAAACCTTTTTTAAAAAAGTTCTATTTGCTCCATACCCTCAACAACACTTGTTACTATGAATCTTTTAAACTTTAGTCATCCAGGTAAGTCTGCAGTATTATTTCATAATAGTTTTCATATAATTTTAAGGGACATGTAGTAGTTCATTCTGTCAAGATGATAAAGTTTTTTACTTTACTAATCCCTTATTGTTGGAGGTTTGGTTTTTAGTTTTTTTTCAATTTTTTACTTTATAAAACGCTTGGATGATCATCCTTTAACATAACATTTTTGTATGTCAGTATCAGAAATAAAAAAGGAGTTATCGCTACAGATCTTACACATATTAAAAAGACAGAGGTGCCTGGGTGGCTCAGTTGATTAAGTGTTGGCCTTAGCCAGTTTTGGCTTAGGTCATGATCTCAGGGTCATGGAATTGAGCCCCATGTTGGGCTCTGCACTCAGTGGGGAACCTGCTTGAGATTCTCGCTCTCCCTCACCCTCTACCCCTCTACCAGTCTCTCACATTCTCTCTCTAAAATAGATAAATAAATCTTTAAAAAAAAAGATAACAAGAAAATACTATGAACAGTTTTAGGTCAACAAATTCAACAATGTAGATGAAATGGAAAGATGCCTCAAAAAATAGAACATACCACACAAAATAAAACAAAAATCTGAATGATCCAGTATCTATTTTAATAACTGAAATAATTATTAACAACCTTACCAGAAAGAAAGCCCCAGACCCAGGTGGTTTTACTGGTAAATCCTATCAAACATTTATGGAAGAAATAACATGAAACTTACAAAAACCCTTACAGACAGTAAAGGAGCAAGTAACATTGGATATTATCAGGTTTTAAGTCTTGGCCAATGTGAAAAGTGAATAATCTCAAAAAAAAAAAAAGTGAGTAATCTTACTTGTCTTTTGATTACTAGTAAGATTGAAGTTTTTCTGCTGTTTACTGTCCTTTTTCGATTTTAAAATCTGAATGTTTATCTTTTTCTGACTCATTTTTTAAAGATTAATTTATTTATTACAGAGAGAGAGTGCATGAGATCGAGGCGGGGGAGGGGAGGACGTGGGGAAGGCAGAGGAAGAGACAGAATCTCAAGCAGACTCCCTGCTGCATGTGGAGCCTGACACTGACGCAGGGCTCAATCCAACAACTATGAGGTCGTGACCTGAGCCAAAATTAAATCAAGAGTTAGACACCTAGCTGACTGAGACTGCGCATAGGGTGGTGTGCTGATGATGAAACGAAAAGTCCTCAATTTGCAGTCCTTCCACCTACATGCTATGGCCTATAATACCTGCTTGCCATTAGAGCACTTTTGAGTTAAGGTATTATCTCAAAGATCAAAACTGTGGGAGGAATGGATCACGGATCCAGTCCTTCCTCTATACTGGAAATCACTTACTAGATTTTCAGTAGCGCCCTGAGGCACAAGGAGACAGGATAGTTTGGTTTTGACGGAAAAACAAGATAGGTCATGAAAAACCAGAATATAAAAACCATAAAACTCCACAGTACAGGGACGCCTGGGTGGCTCACTCGTTAAGTGTCTGCCTTCGGCTCAGGTCATGATCCCAGGGTCCTGGGATCGAGCCCCTACGTCGGGCTCCCTGCTCGGCGGGAAGCCTGCTTCTCCCTCTCCCACTCTCCCTGCTTGTGTTCCCTCTCTTGCTGTGGGTCTCTCTGTCAAATAAATAAATAAAATCTTTAAAGAAAAAAGAAACTAATGATGTACTGTATGGTGAGTAACATAATAAAATTTAAAAATTTAAAAAATGGCTATGTCCAAAATTCATCAGATGCCATATTTTTGCCTGCAGATCTAGCTATTATTAAGGTCCCAGGGATATTCTGCACTTGACTCCCTGGGGGCCAGAGGAAACAGCCTTGCTGACATTTCTGCCAAAAAATCTGCTCAAAAGGAGCTTGAGAGTCAGGCCTCTGTCATGTTCTGAAGGGATGTCCTACCAATTGACAGTTTGGAAAAATTGATCAGATATGCCCAACAACTGGGCCCAGAGAAGGAGAAACAATGTTGGGAATCTAATGACTGATAAAAAGAGAGAATTCTGCCTTGGATCAAGTAACAATCTGGCCCTCCCCAAAATTCTAAAATTCCCATGCCTGACAATAGTACAAACATTAAACCATTGGTCTAATAACAAACTGATAGTGTTCATGAACCAATATTGGTGGGGAAATATTAAGAAGGCTGCAAAAAAAGTGCCTACCTTGCTCCTCCCATTGGTCCAAAATACAATCCTGGGAAAGAAATCCATACCTCCCGTGGGCATTTAAACTGCCCAATGAACCCTTTGAGATTTGGCAAGTGGATTTCATGCCACTTCCTCATCTCATGGAAATAAGTGTTAGTCAATGTGCCTATGTTTCCTCACTGGACCAAAGCTTTCCCTTGGAGAAAGGCCAATGACTCGTGTGTGGCTAAAATCCTGTTAGAAAAAATTATCCCTCCCAGGGAAGCCCTCTTGAACTACACAGTGACCAGAAAACCCATTCTACCGTGCAGGGCCCTCACCCCGTTTGTGATGTTTGGCCAGTTTTACAACACTTTCATTGTACATTACTAACCCCTATCTTCACAGATGGTCCAATGCAATAATGGCAATACTGGGGACTCAATGAGCAAAATGTGCAAATTTTCCAACTACCTGGGACAAAGGCATTGCTGTTACTCCTTCGAAATCTCAAGTCCACACCCTTTGGAACTCAGACTCTCACCCTTGGAGACAGTCACTGGACATCCATGCATTCGACCACTGCCCCTTTTGACCCACAGGTGGGAAAAGGGGATATATTTCAATAATGCAAACATCTAGTTGCTTCTATTAAAACTAACCATGTTGTAGCAGAGCAATCTTTTCACAGGCCACTCCCAGCGGACACTTACCTTGATCATCACACCTTGCAACCTGGAGAGTCTCTCCATTGGAAAAGACACCTCCACAGAGATTCTCTTCAACCTCCCTTGAGAGGCCCTTATCACATACTGCTAACCAAACCTTGTGCTGCCAAATCCCAGGGAATGGACTCTTGGGTCCACGGGACACATTTAAAGAAGGCACCAAACCCTGACTGGACCTGTACACCAGCTGGTGACAAGAAGGTAAATACTTCCCAAATTGCAATAGAAAACATCTGGGGAGACAGCTTGCCCCACATGTCCAGACCAGGCCTGCATTCCTTTTCTCACTGTTGCTCCTTCTACCTCTTTTGTGCAAAGAACATGCCATTTTCTGCATATCCCAGTCTCTTGCAAAAGGAGGAAACCTCTTTGGATTATGATCTTCCCTAAAATCGCCTCCTTTTGATCTTGTGAGCATTTCTAGAGGTTTAGAAGGTTCAGAATTCAAAAGTCTTTCTTTTACCTCAACTACTAACTGAATCCTGATTCTAATCCAAATGCATGGTTTCTGAATTTACAACATAACAGACCACTACTGATAACCCATATAGTTCTAAACAGTTCTTTTGAAAGAACAATACTGTTTTGAAATGTCCCAGAAGTATTCCTATTCTTGCAACAAGTTCTCTAACTATTGCTTCATGTTCTTCAGTGTACTCTATGTTCCCTAATGTGCTCAGTGATTTCATTCAGTGCATTCCTGCAGTATTTGTCTGTTTTGTTTCTAGCCACTGGGGGAGGACACTTCCAGGAGGCATACAGGACTCCGGGTTTGCCTTCAGTCCAAACAAGTGCCAATAAATATTTTCAGCTGGCTCCTTTCAGACCTAGGGTCCTGGATTAAAACCAGCATATGGTTTGGAATTGTCATCTTGTTTTTGATTCTGTACTTGCTGTCTCTCAGTCCTTTGTAGAAACACTGTCTCCAATGAAGTGATGCTGGCTCACTGGTCTCAGTCTTGAGCAGATACAGACTTCACATGGGAAGTTCGTGAGTTTCTCCCATCTAACCCTCCCTGTTCCTCAGGTGTCACTTGAGTAGTTTACAACTGCCATGCACATTCCCTCCAACATGAGACATGCCAATCTGAAAAAGCTTTGCTGGCACTGAAACACAAAACCACTAACTACAAAGAACTTGACTGTTGATCAGGAAGCCTTCCAGGGACACCTGGGCGGCTCAGTCGATTAAGCGTCTGCCTTTGGCTCAGGTCATGGTCCCAGGGTCCTGGGATTGAGTCCCACATTGGGATCCTTGCTCAGCGGGGGCCTGTTTCTCCCTCTGCCTCTCTGCCTCTCTGTCTCTCTCTCATACATACATACAAATAAATAAAATCCTAAAGAGAAAAAGAAATTCTCCCAAGGAAACTTTTTTAAAGTTCTTATTTACAATTAGTCCACATACACTATGATACTCATTTCAGGTGTACAATCTAGCGCTTCAACACTTCCAGGCAACACCTGGTGCTCATCCTAATCCCTATCACCTATTCAACCCATTCCCCCAAACACCTCCCCTCGGTAACAACAGGTTGTTCTCTCTACTTAAGAGTGTTTCTTGGTTTGACTCTTTTTTCTTCTCTTGGCTCATTTGTTTTTTTTTTCTTTATAAACTCCACAGATGAGTAAAATCATACAGTATTTATCTTTCTCTGATTTATTTTGCTCATCAAAGCAAATCTTGATCAGAAGGAGTGAGGGTGTTACACAAATACAATGAATCATGGAACACTACATCAAAAACTAACGTACTGCATGGCGACTAACGTAATAAAATTTTTTTAAAAGGGTAATTTTGAAAACTCCTAATGGGAAATGTCACAAAACACAGGCAGGAGGTTTGGGCAGGGGGAGCCCCCACACCCTACCCCTCCAAATAAAGTGGGGACCCAACAGGAAGACATGGACTTGACCTCGCACATGGATACTCCACTACTCCAGCTAGCAGAACTCTATTCTCATCTCTATATCCCCCCCTCACCTCCTCCAACAGGGCTCACCCACGAGAAGCTACAACACTTGGAACTCCCAGATGCCACCAATGGACCTTCGGTTCTTAACAGCCTTCCAAATTGCCCCCTTTCCTCCTGAAAACAGGGAGCCTCTCTGATATTCCCCAATGTGCCTACGGTTGAATCACAGCTTCTCTGTCCTGCATTCAAGTCTCTTTCCTTCCAAAGAAACCCGACCTGGGCTGATAATTCCCTGAGAGTTTCTACCTTTAAGGTTACAAACTGGACGGTACTTGGTTTTTACCTGGGGCTCTGGTTCCAGCAGAAATCAGAAAGTGGGATCCCAGCTCATTCTTCTAGAAGGTCCTGAGAGGCAGCAGTTAGCGTCTTCACCTCCCAACTAAATGCTGCTCCCCTTCCTCTTAATTGGAGTCAGGATTTCTCCCCAGAAACAAGCCTGCATCTGTAACAAAACCACCACAGCATCTCTGACGGGGCGTCGCGGGACCCCTCCATCCACGGATGCCCGAGTCAAATACCTCTTGTTCAAATACCCTCAGGGAAAATAAGGACCAAACCAGGGCAACAGCCCCCCAAATGCAAGCGACTGTGCTGCTCACCTACCAGCAGGGCCTGGGAAGCCGCCCAGAGCCCCCTGCTCAGCACTCAGCCAACAAGGCTGCTTCTCCTTCGCTCCTCAGGAGGCACCAAGTTGCTGCAAAGGCCCCAGGTTCTCCCAGGGCGGCGGCAGAACTTGCTGGTAAACGCAGCCCTGGCTCTCGGAGGGTAGTGGGTCCTCGGGGGGCAGCAGAAACCTCTCCTGCCCTGCGGTGCCCTGGGTCAGAGAAGGCCATGAAGTCTTCCTACAGCAGGCAGTTGCTGCGCCCTCAGGGAAACCGCCCCCCCCCCCGTCGGAGGTGCGCGCGCGCCCCCGCCCCCCCCGTCGGAGGTGCGCGCGCGCCCCCGCCCCCCCCGTCGGAGGTGCGCGCGCGCCCCCGCCCCCCCCGTCGGAGGTGCGCGCGCGCCCCCGCCCCCCACCGTCGGAGGTGCGCGCGCGCCCCCTGCCGGCTGCCCTGGGAATCCCTACAATTCTCCAAGCCATGGCTGCTCAGCTGCAGGCACTGAGGGTGCTTGGGTCCCGCCAAGCCTGTTCTCCAGACTGGGACAGGGCTTTGTGACGGTGCCTCAGACACAAAGACATCTGTACCTTCTCCTTTCTGTGTCACTGAAGAATGAAACCGATTTTGTCAATGTCACTAGGGAACTGCTAGCGCTGCCACCACTCCCCTCCAAAATACAGACTGCAAATTGACATAATGCAAACTCACGTGCTTGGGTTTACCCACCAAAAGGTTCCTAGTACATAAAACACTGACACCCAGTACACTATCTTAATTTTGCTTTCAATCTTCTCCCTCTTAAGAACAGAATAATTTCCGGTCAGGTCAGGATATTGAAATTCCATTTAGGTAAGACATCATCTAGCACCATGATCTTGATCGTGACAGCGTAGTTTCAACTTTGCCAATCAAGTGTTTGGGAACACATAGGTGACAGGGTCCAAATGCAAACCTAGAGGGAGCTACACATGCCTTATGAATTACTGCATGTCTCCTGAGATAATGTTTTCAATGAAAAGTGATTTAGACATGGAAGATGGATGAAATCGTTTCCATCAGTCTGGGAAGGAACCCATTTTACCTTCAAATACTAATTGCCATCCGGTCACAACTAGAAGAAGCTTGGTGAAGTATGACGTTTCTGCTTGGATGTAAGAGAATGCTTGGGGTTTGTTTTTTGGTTTTGTTTAAGATTTTTTTTTGACTTGTTCCCTCTCTCACTCTGAATGAGAGACAGTGAGAGAGGGAACACAGGCAGGGGAGTGGGAGAGGGAGAAGCTGAGCCGGGAGCCCGATGCCGGGTTTGATCCCAGGACTCTGGGATCATGACCAGAGCCAAAGGCAGATGCTTAAAGACTGAGCCACCCAGGCGCCCCGAATGCTTGGGGTTGGAAACTGTCCACCTACCATCCTGCATCAGGATCCACAGTGGACATGAGGATAGCAACCCCCCCATCCTGCTGCACATTGCTAGCTCCGGAGGGAGAACACGGACCTTATTTTCGAATACTTTGGGTCGAGATCAGCAATGCATCTGTGCCAGTTCCAGGCTGCAGGATCTGGGGCCTGGTTTTGGAAATTGAGCAAGGCCCCTCTGGTATAGGAGGGCTCCCTGGCCCACGGCCTCCACACACCTGGACCACCTCCCCCTTTCCTCCTTGCAATTCCTCATTGTCCCTTCTTCTCTCGACCCCTATCTCCCTCTGATTCTTCCTCACCCTCTCTCAGGCTCCTGGTGGTGCCACACTCCCTGGGTGTTGTCCAGAAGTCCCTTGAGAGAGAAGCTTATGAACTTTATGAATTAAAATGGTCATGGAGATCCCACACAGATCAAGCATGAGATGCAGCTTGGCATTTTTCCATTTATGTGCATAATGTAAACCCCACACTAACACCTAATAAGGTGACAGAGATAAGGGGCATTTCTAGGGATGTTTAACGTGTAACACCTTCTCCCTTAATATGGGATGATTTGAACACCATAAATCTTTCTATCCAAAGGCAAATTCCCAAGACAGAAGAGGTCTATTTTACTGCCATTTATTCAGTATCATTTTCATCCAGTTCCCACTGATTTTTCCTTTCAGATTTCCTTCTGTAGTTTTGTTCAAAAGGCTATTCAATTACCAAACATATGTGGCAATGCTAGTTATCATTTCTTCAATGATCCAGCACATTTGCAACTGTGATCAAAGAACATCCTTTGTGGGTTTCACTCTTCTGAAATATATTGAGACTTGCTTTATGTCCAATTCATGCTTAAATTTTATAAACATATGATATGTCCTTAAAAATAATGACTCTCCTTTATCTTCTTGGTAAAATAACCTATAGATTTCTGTGTATAACTGTATGTATTAATATATATACATATTTCTGTATCTGTATATATTCATTTTATACGAATGTAGAATAGTTTTATTTTTTAACTTCTATTTTATCTTATCTAATATCTAAATGCATAATTATTATACATGTATTTTATGTCTTTATTTTGTATCTCCTTCTATATGCTATGTACTTTATATGATTATGTATCTACCTCTACATTCAGATGTTTTAACTGTCCAATCTTCTGTATCCTTACTAGTTTGGGGGCTGCTGAGAGAGGGCTGTGAAAATTTGCCACTCGAGGATTTTATTTTTCCTGCATTTTTTTTGAAAGATTTTATTTATTTATTTGAAAGAGAGAGCAGAGAGAGAAAAAGCATGAGTGGGGGGAGGGGCAGAGGGAGAGGGAGAAGCAGACTCCCGCTGAGCAGGGAGCTGGATGTGGGGCTCAATCCCAGGTCCCTGGGATCATGACCTGAGCTGAAGGCAGACGCTTAACTGACTGAGCCACCCAGGCACTGCAAAAGCTTGCCCTTGTTGGTCGGTTGGTTGGTTTAGAAAGTTGTGGATTTTTATCTGGATCTTTTTGTCCATTCGCATTCAATGGGACTTTTTCTCCTTGACTTTACATTTATCATCTCATGATGTGCGTTCTATTTGTCCAGACTTCTCTAGTTTTTCTTCTCCTTTTAAAATCTGTTACTATCTGATATTATGCCCTTCACTTTGATCCTGCCTCATGAGCCACATGGAAAAAGTCTAGTTTCACTGTAAGTAAGTGGTGTTAAGTTCACCGTGGTTCCCACAGTCCATATCTTGTGCCCTAACATCATTTCCCCTAAAGACCATCTACTGATAACTGGTGGCTGAATTGTTATGTTTGTTTAAAGGTGATTTCTTCTTTCCACTGTCTACTTGTATCTTTAATTCTGAGCAATCTTTTGTAAAGATCTTTCCCTTCTCTCAATCTCGATTTTCAAAGCTTTTCTTAAGGAGTACTCTAGACTCATGGATTATCATTCAGTATTGGGAAACTATTCCTGCCATGATTCATTTTGATCTGCAGGTTGTCTTCATTTGGACAGTGGTGACCCTTTCAAGCTGGTTCCTGCATCCTTTTCACATGAAGAGGTCCTCATTCTTGGTCCTCAGAAGTTCAGGCACGGAAACCCAGAGC